CGAATTATCGCTGTGGATTATTACAATACATACTATACATAAAACTGTTTTACTGCTGCTTTTCTGAAAGTCTGCTCCCTGTTATAACCTTTTATTATCTGTTGTTAACATTATCATCGTCTATCTAATTTTCCCACCTCGCATTTGTTAATTTAATTGCGTTTTACTTATTATACATAAATGTCTTTAGTTATCGATACTAGTCTTCCAAAGGGGTCATCTGTGTGGTCGATTATTATTTCTATTCCGCCGTTCAATGTCACCAACCCACAACGTTGGTTTATTAGACTTGATCTTTACTTTTTGGCTAACCGTATGCATTAACAACGAGCTTTGCATGCTTACTGCTTTCAGACTAAGTAGCTGATAAGGTACGAGAGTTCCTAACTAAACCCGATGCTGAAAAGCCACATGACGTAATAAAACAGGCCGTAATAAAATCTTTCTTGTTAACCGACAAACAAGCTTTCAAACAGCTTCTCAACGAAATGCAAATAGGTGACTGGAGTAGATCACAACTGATTTACACGATTGTCTGGACGAGGTAATAATGAAGACTCAGAACACGTCTAATTTGACTACGACAAATGTATGATTTACAATTACTTGTGTGATAATTTCATTTATGTGAATCATTAGTGTGATTTGTAGTTTCTTCAAGGTCATTTTGTTTAGTTATAGCGAATTTTATTATAAATGTCATTCATTTTCCTTTATTATTTGTCGTTCACCACACAGCTTTGTCGCCACTATTTACATTAAGGTCAATTTTTTATAAATTTGCTAACTGGGTGTCAAATCCGTGAGTTATTGTTATGTTGAGTGCAATTCACATGTAATCTGAATTTAGGTGGATACCTAATAGATGGATTTCAATATGAAAATATGTGAGATCAGGTGACTGAGTAGTCATTCAGTCATTGCGTTTTCAAACAAAATGATGTATCTTTTAGCTCTGAACAGGTTTCAAAGAATCGTAATTCAAACAAACTATTATCATTATTTATTTGACATATTTTGTGTGTGGCATTATCATCAAACATTCATTATCACATACTATTCACTGTTTACTTGCAGTGAAGTTGAATGTATTACAATCAATAACTGTCATCCTTTTTACAAACTCATTCCTACCAGTAAACTGACATTGTCAAGTAGGGGTGAGTATCAGTAATATATATACAATACAGTACAATACAATACAGTACAATACAATACAGTAAATATATACAATATCGCAATGATTGTATTAACCATCTGATTGTGTTGTCTAATATTCAATTTGAACCAATATTGAATTAAAAACTGGTGGCAAAATGGTGGCCAATGTTCCGTTTCGGCAGATTCTAGGTGAGATAAAGAAGTAAATTCAAATTAGATAACAATAGTGTTCTCGAAAATTTGATTCCTTGAGATCAGTTTCTCTATTATCATTAAGTTAGCATTCAACAGTTTTCGTTCACTCTAAAACAATCTGTGGTCCTTCAAGAGCTGAAAGCCTGATTTGCAGTAAACGTTAAGCGTTGATCATGATTTACCATTAAATAAACTATCTAAACTACACCATATCAATATTTCAGGCGGGATCACCGACAAATTGTTTCCAGATATCATTTTCAAAGTTCCATAGTGATTCTGTCACCAGTGAAACTAAACCATGTTGAATGTGAAGCAGTCACCGGAGTTATGTCATCAAAATTACAGGTACAACATCGTGTATTGATTGGAACTACTTATTATCAATACAGCAGACCGACTCGCTTAGATTAGATAAGGCCGTTGTTGCTTATGTTAACCACGTGTAGCACTTCATCCGTATTATTCCTTCGATAAAATCCGGTTTGTTTCCTCCCACATAAAATTATAGCGTAGACAACCGCTTATAGATACTTGTACGTACTTGATGATGGCGTTGATAATTCTGCAAGTATCTGATGCATGCAGATAAAATGTCTTTACATTTGTTTTGAATATGGTGACTTGGTTGTTGGTTGAGAAGTGTTTTGTGTCGTGTACTTGTAGAAGCGTCACACTTGATTTACCCTAATATCTGCATCAGAATCCTATTACTTGCACAAGTTGACGTTTTTTCATCCTCAATGCTGGCTCACATGATTCCACATAAAAATGAATACATTTTTAGGTACTGTGAGCTATCGCTTCAGTTATTTTTCCTAATTAACGTTTATCAACCTAATAATAATAATTATATATTTCACAGTCATTCCAAGCTCAAAATCAATCGATCACATTTAATTCAACATTTTTTGATAATATTCACTGAATTGCAAAACATTTATGAACCTCGAATAAATTTAACGGTCAGTAAGCTCGTTTTTTAAATGACAGAATACTGTAATTTTCATTTTGAAAAAGATGAACTGATATTAGCCGGATGACCATTGACAAACATAAAGCAGTCGATGACCTACTTGTTTCCATTATTAGAAATATCAGAATTTCTTGGTAACAATCCTAAAGATAGACTTAAACCGACGACATTTGGTTTTCCTTGAACTCATGACACTTCGAAGTGATTGTTTTGTTTTTCTGTAGCTAGAGCAACTTTAGCAATATGTTTTGTGAAGATCAGAAGAAAAACAAAATGTTTGTCTGCTAAATAATTTATGTGCCTATATCACAAGGACGTTTCTGCTAATCATAACGTTCCAGACTCAAAGATTATAACGTTCAGGTTTACTACGCTCAACAATCAATAAGGTAATTCAAAGATATCACAACATCCGACGATCTTTTATTAAGATTTTACAATAGATAATTTCTAGTCTAATAGGCATGAAGTGTCAGAATAAACACCAAGCATTCAGTGAACAAAAAGTGATTTGACATGGATTTCGATGATGAACAACCTTATATTACCTCAGACTCCGTATGTAACCCCATGAAGCCAATACAATTACTATGCCAGGATAAAGGAGAAGGGTTCAGCATTAGATAAGCGGGGCCATTATATAAAATATTAACTGGCTGAAGATCGTCAAATAGAAACATAACTCATTCTATAGTGAATCCTTCCTAGGGGTGAGAATGTCTACTTTTTCAAAAGTTTATGTGTCTCATGATGAAAACCTGGTTGTTTCGTACAAGAAGTTGTCTGTCCATGCTATTAATTTTTCATTCGCAAAGACAGGCTCACATGATGAATACCTTATATGTACTGTGACCTATCGCTTCACTTATTTTTCTTATTTTATTTGAAATGCTTGAAGGGTGTGAGGGAACAGAAGACTGTCCTAAGTTGCTGCAGAGGTGAAAAGACACAGCCTTTTGCTGCTCTGAATCGCTGACAAATATTTTTCTCCAGTTAAACAACTGTAACTAGCTGATTTGTTCGACTTCACACACACAAGGATTCGCTGTTGCTGACACTGCCATCAAAAATGGAACTGATAAGATAGGAATTTCATGAACGGAGAATCATCAACACATCCCCTTTTTAAAGAATGTTGTTTCCACGCTGAACGTCGGTGAATAGTATGAAACCACCGTGAAGACTTTCAAAAGGATAAAAACGAGCTGCTTGAGTCAATCGTTCAGAGACACTCATCAATTTAATTGGCGATTCTTCTGCGACACCTGCATCTCATGTTTCATTTTTTGAAGTTACTGGAGATGATGTCATTATAGGACGATAATAATGTAAGACACCTCAATCGTCAGTGGAGTTCATTGTAACAAACTAAATTTGTTACAGCTCTAGACTTCCAGTTATTGACGTAAAGGATTTCAAATAACAATACAACGGTAGCATATGTGCAATATGACCTTCTGTTTTATAGCTGTCTTTATAGCAGACAGGCTGAGTTAGGTACTAAATTTGATGATCTACACAATATTCTTCTTCACAATTCTCAGACTGATGCCCGAACCTTTATGCCTTGTATACTCTAGATAATGTAGTAGTAAACGAGCACAATATACTTCACTCCAACAAACATCCAGGGTTTCATGACAAAGTATAAATTACCATGAGGAACGACTGGAAATAGAACCAGTATGCAATATTTTCAAGATGTCATGATATTTCGGGTGACATTGAACACAATTACAAACAATCGAGCGTAATACGTTTGCCTTTCGTAATAATGGTTTTGTTTACACAGTCTGAAAAAATAAATTACTCGCTTTATTGACAATGCGACATGTGAAATTAAAATAGTCAGGTTGTTCGGTAAATGCATATGACTAAATGACACTTGTCAAAAAGCTGACAGAATTCCAAGCACAATATTTTGTGTTCATATGGGACTGTTTTGAGACAAACACTAATATTACCTTAGTAACTGTGATAAATATAATTATCAGTATTGTGCTTGATGTTATTTTCTTACTTCCTAAAAACGAGTTCATACTAATGCGCCGTGAAGAGTCTGTGCGAAGCTGGATGAAGGCGTCACTGTTATGTGTTATCTCGTCGCTTAGTGAAAGTAGGAATGAATTAGTCCAACTGTCACTAAATTGTATTGGTTTGGGGCGGATAACCATTACTTCATCGACAATCGTGTAGACGGGGGACAGGTTGGTCGGACGGACAGAAGCAACATCATGTTTGATAACTTATTTGTAGTAACGAGGAAAAAACAGGAATTAATTCGATCCAAGCATTCCTAATGATGTTATAAGTAATCGTTATTGTCGTTATGTGTATGACTGAAATACACTGACCATTTACAACAGTTTCGCAACATTATTGTGTTTCGAAGTGAATCGTACTTCAAAATTTATACTTGGTTTACAGTATGATGAGGAAACAGAAATGTGAAAGAATAATTAGAAAATGAACTGATACTGTAAACATGTATGTCCACGAATTACAAAGATTACATCTGATCAGATAGTGATAATTGCTCACGAAAGGCAAGAAAATAAAGTCAGTTGACAATTTTCGAATTATCATTCTTCACAATCAAAGTTAAACTAAATAAAGACTGTGGTACTGACAACATAAACCGCCTATTTCTTTGTTAATCAATACTAACTTCCTGGAGAAAAATTGATCACTTCTAATTCTTGCATATGAGAAATTCAGTAAATTATTAGTTTCTGTCCACTCCAAAGGACCAAAATTGTCAAACAACCTTCTCAACAAGTACCTTCTGTAACCATCAAGAGGAATAAATTTCGGCCTTCTACCTTCTCTTTGATTGCCACAGTCAAAGCAAAAAGTGAGAAACGCTTGTGGTCCTAACAGATGCGATGAAGTATGAAGTATTATTCAGGCAGTTTGTCCGAAAGCTGTGACAGAACTGTGCGCAGAAGGGAAATATAGATATAGAAATAGTGCTGTGGTCTAAATATATTACAGTGATGTATTTACTACTGTCAAAACGTAGCAGGATACACATGTTACCATTCGTCGGTATACTCTGATGAAACTTGACAGGTTGATTTAAAATTTGCAGTCAATTAGACATACATAATATAATTGTTTCACAGAAATCGAATTCACTGCATATCATGGCATTTTTCAACTCAATAACCTAAGTAGACAGTCAAAATTTTGATTGAGAGAAAAAAATACTTATCTCTTCCATTTAAAATCTCTCTTTCAAATGCTACTGTAATTGCTGCAGTTATCGATCAGGACAAAAAACTAGTAATTGTAGGATGCAATGTGAGATTTGGACTGGGGAATCACATTCAAGTTGGTTGAGATATGCACCTTGCGCAGGCAAAACCAAAACAAGTGATTCAAAAAACCACCGTTCTAATATTCATCAAAAATATAAATGTAAACAAATGTACTCAACAAATGTTACCACTAAAATATTCCACCACAAACTGTTTGATTAGCCAGCTCAGAAGAAACAAATAAATGCTACTCTATCTCTTCTGGATAGATCAGATCCAGTCAAAGATGATATTTGGATGCTTCATGATAGAATTGGCTTACTATGCTAGAAGAGTGCTTCAAATCACAATCAAAATGCACACTGCCCAAACATCAGCAGGACAAAATCAAAATGGCTGCCGCCCTAACCAGGTATCAGCATCATATACCTGATGCATTTCGGAAAGAACATGGAAACTCATTTAAGGCACAAAAATTAGAAACCACATTAGCATACAAAAATCATCATCTCAAAATGGAACAGAGCAGATTAACGAAGCGCAGAGCTGAAAGAATGAATAAGAGGAAATTATGAATGCATACATGAAGGGATTTTCGTTACATGAAGCTTAAATATTATAGAATTTGGCAGTTGAGAAAGTGTGACCTTTTGAAGGCAATTCCGGAGACAATGCGAATGACACTGCACGAATCCTGAATATCCTCTTATATGTGAAAATTGCTGAACGATATAAGCAGAAAGAATAAAACAGAAATTTTGAGAAATTGGCGAAACTACTCGCTGTTATTAAAATGGTCATCGTCATCAACATGTTCACATACAAACGCATTACATGCCTTTAAAATGTCAGTCACGCTTGCGATAAACGATATATCATAATGTTCATTATGCGAGAAAAAATAACACAACTTCACATGATCCAAAGTCGTGTTTTATATTGAATCAAAAAAATATTCATGTTCAATAGACAAAAAAAGAGGCCTTGACCAGTGTCTAGATAACATATCAGTTCAAGAAAACTCACACAAAAATTGAGTTTGTGTCTCATATGTTTACACAAAAAGAATAATTTCAAGAACCTCACAGATTGAAATAGAAATAATCTATCGATTTCATAATATCATCAACGTGATGTTCTATCTCAATGTATGAAAGCTAAACTTCACAAAAGTAATTTTGTGATGACGATATTTAAATGAAAGCAAATGCTTCGGCATTGTGAGTTGAGAGATTGTATGTTTTCTTGAAATGCGGAATTTCTTTGTGTTGCTGGCGAGATCTGTCTTCTTTTATTATTGGTAATAAGTGTAAAAATAAAAAGAAACCTAAGCTGAATCTTCTCAAGTAAAAATGGTTGAAAATAAGCGAACGCTTATTACCTTTGGCTTATATATGAGAATATTGTGTAAGAAACAACAAAGTACAATCGAGTAACATGATTAGCCCTAAATATTTTGTTTTATATTGGCCTCATGTTCTAAAACACTTCTTTCTATTCTATCAGTGTTTCTGCTTACTTAAGTACATGTAGATACAAGTGTAGGCTAAATAAGGCAAGTTTAGGTCCATTCATGACTAATCTCGCAATTAATATATGTGATTCTTTAATATCAGTTTGACAGCTGGAAACGCCCTCTTTATTATGACTCCTTGACTGGAAGTAACGATGACATATTACCTACACTTACTGTTATTTTTTTCAATGGATAATACTATCGTGTTGAAAATTTCAGTAGTTGACAGATGTTTGCATATTATGTTAAATTCATGTTATTCTGACTGCTAAGGTATTCATTTAGATTTTTTTCAAGATTCATATATGGTAATGATACTGCATCAAGACAAACTAATGGAAAACAATGACAAAGAGAAAACTGACAAATAAAAACTTTCAATAATGCCCTCCAACGACAATGAACATACGCTTGTGCAGATTGCACTCGACATAAATTTGAGGCAACAATTTCCACCTAACAAGCAAATTTATAAAATAACACCTCAAAATAAATTGCATGCAGAATAATAATTATTCAAACAGAATGAATGACAGTTTTACAAAAGTGTGCAAAGAACTAAACACAATGGCTTACAAGAAATTCCATATCACACAAATGAGTCACATCAATTAGGTAATGACCCATGCAATAGAAAATAACAATTCATACTGAAGACAAGACAGTGGAAAAACTAATATAATATTAAACACGCCGAACTAATTGTTTTCGTTCAATTTTAAGATGATATAATCAATATACAATATATTGAAAATGTCCGACAAATTTTTGTTGACTTTGAAGTGCACGGAACCAGAGAGATGTATTGAAAAATTGAATTGAGCCGTCGATGAATGTGACTGAAGTGATACAATTTGTTCAGCTTCTAAAATGAGAGAAAAGATATGAAAATGAACTCGGAAGGGTCAAGAAAAGTACCTGCTTATTTACATTGGATGATAACTACTCTCTGGTATGTGACGTATTTATGACTAACAAAGTAATACAAACAGGACTATCATGAATGGTTCCTTCTTTCGAAAATACCAGATTGCAATTTCTGTTTGGCTAAAACGGTAATTGTCACACTTAACTACAATACGGGATTCCCTTCGATCGCTCTATACATCTTAGAGGGAAAGAAGCTTTCATTATACTGAATGCCTAGCGTTCAACACTGCTTAAAAATCTTGTTTCATGTACTATATGCGTATCACAGCTCGACTGCAAAATATCCTCTTATTCAGCTGAACATAAGAATGTTAGATGATCGAACATTGTATATTAAAACGAATTTCTGACTAAAACTCACATTCGCTTTCTTTTTGTATAAAAGTATCCCAACAACTGAGGCGAGGCCCAAAATTAGAACCGATATAACAATCGGTAACGCAACGTTTATGTACCGATTGCTCCCCACACGTGCACTGAGTTTCAGCGTCTTTCCCGTTTCATTGGAAACGATGTTTTTCCGTTCAATGAAAGGAGCAGTAGTCATATTTTCTTCTTCTTAGCTTTCCTGGAAGGTATAGGAATACGTTAGGTTTGACAGAAATAATTTTCTGTCTATAGTTAATTCAGTTCACAACGCTATCTCTACGCACATTTGAAGCTACTTCGGCAGTTAAAATATAAATTAGCATATATAGGATGTGAAAACGTTCGCTTCCACAGAATATACTTACTGGCTGTTCAACAAACAGGCTGAAAGCACTGACTGATGACTCGAATTTGTTACGTAATGTGTATCGTGACCGTCACAGTGAAATACAAAACAAATATTAACAAGCATGCATAGTTGGCAATATTCTGAAAACGCAGACACTTAGTTGTCATACCTGGATGGGTCCTAATAAGCACATACTTAAAATAGAAGTATTATAAAGTTATTTCGGAAATCTCTGAATACAACGTTGACTTAAACATTTCACTGTTCAAGTATTTGCATGAAACAGCTCTTCTTTTCACTGCTCCCTGTTTTATTAGACAAACGTATACGCGTTTAAGATACGATGTAGACAGCCTGCACAGTGACTTCATTCAGCAAAAATCTACACTCATTCTTGGTAAACGGATCTCCTGCCGATTAAAAAAGACACAAATATTAGAATAAATAACCTATTCACAGTCGTAAGTTTTTACACTACATTACTTTTGTTGCCAAAGTGCAGTGTATACGTCTTAACTATTACTGTACTTAGAAGCTTTTGAACACCAAAGACACGTCACATTAGTTGTTGATGCAGCTTGACAAGAATCAGACGAAGTTTGACTAGAACACAATTCTACGAAAATAATCAAGAGAGTGAATTCCAGGTTATAGAGGTTAAGTGTAATTATCGACAAGGAACATGAAAACAAATGAACAGAATTATACTGACTCAGGACGACAGTGACTACTTCATTGATAGTAACATTTTCTTGAACTTCGAAGGTAGAATATTCACAACACTTTCAAGACTATCCACATTTCGGGACAAGTACTTGGAATCGAACAGATGTGATTATATTGTTGATTGCGTGTGATGAATTTTGATATGCGATCGTAGTATATTTCAGAATCTGTCGTTTTTATCCTATAACCATTCACGATAAACTGAGAAGCAAACTGTCGAAAGGTCCAATCAATAATTAATGTTACCTGATCGACCGCGTACATAAATTGATAAATGTTTTCAGATATCATTTGTTCAATCATATGCTGAACAAAAGCATTATTACATGATCAGAACTGCGAACAACTTCAGACCATGATATATTGCATGAGGTAGACAACATCGAGTATTTCAAGCAATCGTTAATGATTGTGTTTGATCAAGATCGATGGATTTCTTCTCCAAGCACTGATATATGCATAATACTTTTCATTGTGAAAGTTCGGTGACTGCCCATTTTCCACCGAAAACTTTACAATACCACATTTCAACTAAAGAGAAAAAAACCATTGTTT